CGTTCGATACATTATTTTGGGACACCCTGTATATATATAATACCAACCTGCACTCCGTTTATACCAGGAGCTCCTGTAGCGCCTTTTGGACCAAAAGGGCAAAGTCTACAGCCATCATGTTTTTGATAGAGTAATTCGGGAAGTATTCCAGGGTGTCCTCGCGGACCAGTTGGTCCAGTTGCACCCGGCGTACCATCTATACCATCGGCACCTGAAAAAATTCTCAGATAATTTCAGAAGAAAAAACAGGTGCACGTACCTCGTTTCCCTGGTGGTCCTGGAGGGCAATCGTTACCGTACTCGCATTCACAGTAGTTATAAACTTGGCGAGTCGTGCGAGGAGCTTCGGCCCTTAGCTCTCGCCAAACTTTAGACTCGAGCTCGGAAAATGTGCGAAGTTCAGAGTTGAGAAGTTGGCGAATTTCATACATTCGGCTCCACATCCGCGGAATATAGCTAAAACAGATTTCAATGGTTTTTGACGTTTGTGTCAGTTGTCCAGCTCAGGACTTAAAGATTCAGAACTAACCTGTACAAAGCCACTAATGAGATTATAGAAAGGGCACAAGCCGACTGAAGAAGGGCTGCTTCACGCATCTGCAATGAAAAAGACTTCTTGAACAAAACAGACACATCACCTGAAAAACCTGCGGCCGAAAGTGACACAAAACTTCAAAGCAAAACGAACGAGATGCGTGAGCTATGCGCGCCTCCTAAATCCCCGTAGTTCCAGCGATTTGCTCGTCGGAATGAGTGACTTGGCTGCGAATTGAGGTCCAAACTTAATCGAAAACTAGTTGTCTACTTCCACTGCAAAACGAAAGGATCAGCCGTTGAAAAAGTGCGCCGTACAATGTTTCGGAAGTTGAAGACACGAAACACAGAAATCCACTACTCTTTCCTTTTTACTGTCTTATCCTGTCTATGCTGAAGTGAATTATTACGTTTGGAAGGATGGAACATTTAGGCATTGCCCCTCCTTTTTTTTCGAACAGCTATGCTTGCGCTATTTTGGAGGAAAGAGTTTGCTAGTTGGCTGTTTCTTACAGTATGAAAATGATCTCTATATGAGTAACATGATGCTCTTAACGGCACCGTCCATCCAAATCAAGGTTGATGAGATTTTGATG